CCGCTCTTAGTCTGACCCGTCACCCAGGACCTGTTTGCCTTGGGAGACCCTACCAGGGACATACTGTATGGCCCCCGACAACATAGCTCCTAGGATCACTCGGGTGCTCAAACCCCTCCACCACAATAAGGTGGCAGTTCAAGGAGGGGATCTGTGTCTGTCTTTTGATATTTCAAGAAACAGTTCCAGCAGGCCCTAAATGTCAACAAGTTTTCGTCCAGTTTCATTTTTATTTTTATGTGACATTAAATTAGACTGTTGCCATACAAATCAGTTATTAATTGGCTCCCTCAGATTACTCTCAGCATTTTAGTCTGAGACATAACCGCAACGTTCAGATTTAATTAGAGAAACTAGAGCTACAACGATTAGCCGATTGCGCATTTTAGTTTCATTTCAAGCAAAACTATGTTATGTTAGCTGGCTCTTGCTTCTCAGATATGTGAATTTATTGCTCATAATAGTAAAGTGAATTGAGTTCTGATCTGTTTGTCAAATAAAACAAGACCTTTGAAGATGTCACCTTGGCCCGTGGGAGCATTTTCACTGTTTTCAGATATTTTATAGTTCAAATGATTCATTGAGACAATAATGACACATTTATTGATAATAAAAAATCATTAGATGCATCATCAGGCTCATGAGATGACTCTGGCTGCATGGCCAATGGATGTTGAAGGTTGTTTTATATGCTTACATACATAATGTAATTTAATCTTCCATTGGATGTTGGTGGTAAAAAATGCTTTCCTTTCAGTCCGTTTTTCAGTGTTTGTGCAATACATATTTCTACATCAGTCATTTGTGGTCTCCTGTCTTCAGTTCATGAGGAACTCCCAGGGGCCTTAGCTTAACTTCTGTGTTTTCTTATTTGTTTCGGTCACATCCAGCAGACAGAATATTTCAAAATGTGTTTTCTGTACAGTCTGTTGCAGCTTTTCATCATTTTATCCCAGCCAGCAAATGGCTGTTTTGTTAAGAATATTGTGTTTATGTTTAGAGTGTTATGCAGAGTGATTCCCACTTGATGGATATGATTGTGTGTGTCAAATGAGACTTTGTAATCAGGTGTAAATGTATATGGCCATGCTGGCTGGTGATGGGTTAGAGCCAGAGTTGCTAAGAGGGAGGACCTGCAGCAGGAAGGACATAGCTGCAGGACAGCTAGGACAGCTAGGCCAAGTAGAGCTGTGAGAGCAGACACACACCCGAAGAAGACTGTTTAAATGACTCACACCAGTACAAATGCTACACTTGCATAAAATGTCAAATGCACTGATTTGAAGACTGAAATAGAAGCATGCTTGTGCACACTCATGCACATGCAGTACCTTAAGGTCAGAGCAGAGCTCCCATCTCTAATCAGAGATGAGGAAGATGTCCGCATCACAAAATCACGGCTTCTCAATATAGGTCTTCCCTTTCATCTTTCTGTCTCCGCTTCTGACACTTCCCCTCCCTGTTTCCCAGAGCAAGCCTGGCATTAGTGTGACGAAACAACCTTGTCATTTCTTGTGACAATGACTACCGCACACACATGCATACAACAATCACACAGCATGACTAGTTTTCCCTCCTATCTAAAATGAAGCAAAGTTGGTGATGTGATGAATCTTGACTGCTGTAACATAGGTCACTTTGATCTATCTCTACCCGTCACATTAAACTCAGTGACTGTCCTGCAAAAGGGGCAGAACGTTCAGTCAGGCTGCAGCTCACCAATTATAAAATGACATTTTTCTGAAATGCTGCTTGAAAATGTCCATTTAGATTTACTCCCAGTGCAGCAGCAGGAACAGCAGCTAATTCTACCCTATCCTGTTCATCTGTATCCATCTTAATACCTATTATATAGCTTGAAATATATGTGGATTACCTGTGTAATGTGCAGGAAAGCAGAGGAAATGGCTCTTAATTCTTTTTCTTGCTGCAGCACTGTACTTACTGCATGTTTACAGAGCCGCCGTGAGCTCAGTGAGCCTGTGTAGTGTTATAAAACTGTGTGAGTGCGTGTACATCAGCATGTTCAGACAGGAGCTGCTTTGCTCCGGCTCGTTTACATTCCTCAGATATATAGCAGAAAAATACAGTAGTTGTGGTTTGTCTCTCTCCTCTTTCTCTTAATCTTTGCCAGCTTCCCTCCTCTTTGCTTTCTTGAACAATTTCAGTGCAGCAGTATTGATCTGATAAGTGAAGGCCACTCTACAGTGACTCACATGTAAGATGTGGAAACACATGCACACAGAGAAACAAACTCACAGGTGATCCAGGTGCAGCAGAACAGAGGGAGGGGCGAAGCCTTCACTGCTGAGTGAGTGGTGGCTAAAGACAGCATACTGTGTGTGTTTGTGTATACCAGCATATCAGCTGCTGTGTTAACAGTTAAATGTTCAACAACCAGGTATTCAGCAGAAATACCAGTATGACTTTGTTGGTCTGCTCAAGGTTAGGTGGGGTTTGGTCTTATGTAAAGGCCTGAAATAGTCAGGCTGCCCATTTTTTTGGCATTATACAGTGCTCTTAGAAACTCCCACCATGAAACGATGAAAGTATTTGCAAATTAATTTCTGCTAGTGATCCCGCAGTGCAGTGCATTTGACAGATGAAGAAACTGGTCATGTAGCAACAGGAAGATGATTCATTTTTGCTCACCATATGAAGTAGTAAACTAAAAGGTCTTTTTATTTAGTTGATTTTTATTTTATTTTAAACAGTGGTTAGCTTCTCAAATGCAACTGGGACTGTGGGTGATGAACTGTGATGAAAAGACATCAATGTGAAGTTTTAAAATTTATGATAGTTTTTGAAATTTTATACACAAAATCACCAATATGCCACAAAAATCCCAAATTCCGGCACACACACCAGGGATGTTGATACATCTGAGTCCTGCTGCCCCTCGGCACCCAGCTGGATCGATGAGCAGTTCATGTTGTCTCAGGTTGTGCACGTGATCATTATAGCCTGACTACCTGGTAAATCATAAAATAAAATAATGAAAATAATTTTTTGTTCTACACATAATCCCACACGTTCAAAGCCATGATTAGCTGGTTATACTATATCTTAAAATGAATGTTGTAATGATTTATTCATGATAAGATGTTACATTACTTTCATTCACATGTATTTTTAATGTGATGTACAGTCTGGTCACAGTTAGTCTAGTTACTATAATGGAAATACAGTATATTTTATTGCATCAGGACACATTTTGTAATTTCTTGTGCTGGCTCACCTCTGATGTGTTTGTCCTGATTAACAGCAGCTCGTCTTTTAACGGGAACACACCAAAGGGCTCACATTACTCCAGTCCTCTCTTTATTACATTGGCTCCCAGTACATTACAGGATTGATTTTAAAATAATGTTGTTTGTTTTTAAAGCTTTGAATGGTCTGGTACCCCCTGACCTCTCTAAGCTTTTAAATTATCACAATCCATTAAGGTCAGTAAGATCCTCAGACCAGCTGCTCCTGAAGGTCCCCCAGGTTGAAGTCTAGATGCTGGGGCAACCGGGATTTTGTAGTGGCAGCTCCTGAATAACTTACCCTTAACTTGGATCTTTCAAATAACCGCTTAAGATACACTTATTTACACTGGCTTTTGCCCCCTAATAATTAGTGAGACACATTTCTTATTTTCTTCCTTCTTGATTTGAAAAGCAGAAACCTGGCTTCTGCTTGTGTTATGGTGTTTTGTGTCTTGTTGTGATGTTTTAATTTGTAAGCTTTTATTACATACTTATGAAGTGCTTTGGTATGACTTATTGTTGTTGTAAACATGTTATATAAATAAAATTTGATTTGATTAATGTAGTGTATCCAGTTTCATAATCTATGGACTGATTGATTGGTTTCATTTCAGCTATTTTTAGTGTAATTATATTGGATTCAGACACTGAGTAATCTTGGAACAGTAAGTTATGCATAATGCCAGGTTTATTACCCTAATTTCCTGCTGTAGCAGTACTTCAGGGTGTGGTCGTGGTGCCGTGCAGTCTGTTGGAAGTGTTACCACCCTTGCTGCCTCTGGGCTTGTCTGAACTGTCCATGTAGGCCAGAAGCTGTTCAACAGATATTTAATCCCCTCCAGCTTGCACCTTCTTCTTATCTGTTGTCTCTTTCTTTTTTTCCCTCTTTTTGCTCTTCTACGTCACAGTACACGCTGCATGTGTATTCCCTCTTGTTCTTGCTGTCTCATTGTTGCTGCTTTTTCCTTCCTCAGATGAGTTGCTGTAGCTAAAATGGAAAGAAGGCGACTAGTGTCCTCCTATTTATACCGCAGCCGTCGTGTCCACGCTCTAAAACACTCTATCAGATGTTAGTTATCAGATTACCTTGGAAAAATTATAACTAAAATAACTCAATATATAGTCACTGGTAATGTTGATATGATGCAATAAATGTACAGTAAATCTGAAATGACACAGTTCACTTATCGTAGCCTTTCAGATCATACTGACTAGGATGAATGAATGGAATCTAGTCAGTGTTTCTGTTATGGAAGATGCCTGATAAATCCATGATGTTGTTTATTTCCTTTCTACCTTTCTCTTCCTGCTTTTAATCATGTCTCTCTCTCTCTCTCTCTCTCTCTCTCTCTCTCTCTCTTTCTCTCTCTCTCTCTCTCTCTCTCTCTCTCTCCTGCGCTCTCCTCAGATGAATACAAGATGAAGGGAGTGGAGGAAGTGAAGTACATGAGAGGGGATGAAAGCCGAGTGAATGCACGCAACCAGGAGAACCTGGTGAGAGACGCACACAAAAACCGACAGATGTGCTGACAGCCCATCATCCACACTGTAGGATTATGGTTCTTCTTACCATTGCTAACTCTGAGAGACGAGACAGTCCAAGTAACTTCAAAACAGTGCTGATTTATTCCATGAACACAGGTAAAAATTAACATTACACGCTCAGGTATCTTGCACCTCCAAACTGCTCGCAGGCAGATGTAAGATGAAAGACCCTGAACCCACCAGGCCTATACATTATATCACCTCGGTTGGGCTAGCCCCATACTACACAGAAACGTCAACCGAGACGTCTCTGTTACCAGCTTTGCAGCTGGTCATAGCAGTAGTCAAAACATGAGGCAAATCAACAGACACATTCACACGTTGATTAAGTGGTGTGTAGCTAAAAACATTCTCACACGACCTCTAGTAACATGTCGTGTCTTAAACATAAGAACATATTATGGCTAAGGCTACCGTTATACACGTCGTAATAATAATATTAAACACCCTGTCTGCTGACAGTCATCAACATTTCTCTCTAGTTATCCTTGACCAGATGTACCCTGTAGAAACTCATAAGCATGACTAAGCATTTAACAGTCTAACTAGACATCCTATCTCCACTAAACATTTCTAATACATAAAGTATCTATCCAATTTCTATCTGACTAAAAATATCTAACAACACAAAGACTCAGACCTTTTTCTGACAGTTCATCAGCTCAAGTGAACAGGCTTATGTTTGTGTCCAAAGGCAGCTGCGTCAGCCTCACCAGCTCATACACACACACACTCACACTTACTGTCTCTTGCACAAGTGCAACAACACACTCAAGGAGGTGCCTCGCACGCAGGTAGAGACAACATCCTGGCATGTCTGGAATGTGGGGGCCGATCGCTTGGCTGACTGCCTCATGCAAAACCATTAGGTCTTAGACACGGTAAAGGAGTGTTGTATTGTCACTGCTGAAGTCTTGTTATAATAACTTGCCTGTCCAATCTCTCTTCAGTTCAGGCACATTTAAACGCCAAAGCATACAAAATGATTGAAATGTGTGATAATGTGAAGTGAGAGTTCAGTTGTTTGTTCAGAAAATCCCGGTAAGTGGTGGAACAATGACCATGTAGCTGAAAATCCTGATATAAAAGAAACAAAAACGGTGTCATACTACCACAATTTCACGTGGGTGACGAATTCAAGTAAAATACAACTCGGAAGGTTGTTGGGCCATCACGTGCCACCAGAACAGCTTCAGTGCTCCTTAGCTTTGACTCTACAAGTCTCTGAACCCTACTAGAGGGATGAACACCATTCTTCCAAAAGATATTCTCTCGTGGTGTTTTGATGATGGTGGTGGAGACGCTGTTTAACATGCCACTCCAAAATGAAAGAGACACTGAAAGACCCAAACACATTTTTACACATTGGTTCAAATTCACATTTCTAAGTGTGTGAACACCATTGAGTTCCTACAATGCCCATGCATGTACACAATTAACAGAAGTGTGAGCCAAATGCATACAAGCATAACAACTGTCGAATAATGCAGTTCCCTAAAATCTGCTCAGTTATAAGTTTCTTTCAGTTTGGCTTGAATGGAAGCTCCCCCTTAAATGTCCAGCAGATTTGAAATGCCCTCATCTCTCCCCCGACCCCTGTCGCCATTGCTGATCTGTTTATTTTTACCAGTCTGTGAGGGGCCAACACTGAATGATGACAACTGATAATGTGTACATGCACAGAGGAGTGAGATGTTACAAAACCACACAAATTCTGATCTGACCGTTCTGACAGCGGCTTCATAGTCAGAGACTGGATATGAATCGGATCTAGGACTACATATGGAACTGATCTGAGTTGTTTGGAGGGAGAAAAATCTGTTCTGGGCTGGTTCAGTATTTAATGTGAACATAGCCAAAGATGTAGTTACAGATTAATTTGATGGTGGTGGGGCTGTTTGTTTTGTTTTTTTTAACTTCAGCTGACAATGAGAATTAATGGTCTGTGTGTGTGTGTGTGTGTGTGTGTCTTCCAGGAGAAGAGTAATGTACAGTACAGGGGCAAACAGCAAAAAGAGGTTGCTGCAGCAAACATCAAGTCGAAGTAAGTGGCCATTAGTCGTCTGCAAATGTCTTGTGGAAATTTATCTGTCAGTTGAATTTATTGTCCTTTTTGGAATTCCTTTTGTATTTGTGGCAATTGTAATGCAAATACATGACACATTAACACAACCCGGGTGAGCATACACAACCCACAATAGAGACATCACACATATCACAATAAACCACAACAGACCATTGGTTTAATGCTGGAGATATATAAAAATATTAGCTCTATAGATTATGGACAACTCTGATAAGTTGAGTTAAGCACCACTTCACCCAAATTGCAAAAAATATGTGTATTTTTGTGAGGTTTCTAATTTAACTGAACATAGTACAGATGAAGAATTTGCAGCACTGAAAAATTATACCTGAGATGATTAAACAGCAACAAACTTTCTTCAGAAACACTGTCACCACAGCTGTGGATAATCCACAAACATCACTGTGAACATTGTTTTCTGGAAATTCTTGTAATTGTAAAGTGTTGTAATTTTGCTGAACTGACCCTTTAATAGGCCTTTATGTCCATTATGTCTAGTGTCCTTTAAGATGTGACTTAAAATCATAATGTTAATATTATGGTGTGTGAAGTAAGTAAATGTTGTGTCTGGCTTTTGTAAAGCTGCCTCTGGGCTAGCCTCAGAGGCTGTGTGTGTTAACAAGTGGTTGTATATGCATGTGTACTGGTTGCAGCTGGTGGCAGAGTATTTAGCCTTTGGATCAGAGGCTGAATAATTATTATTAAATAATCATTTAAATTCCTTCACGGCCTCCTGACCATGGGTTTCTCACACTGCTGTAAGGATTGTGTGTTTGTGTATGTGTGTTGATGTTGCATGTGTGGGTAATGGAAAATTCTCATGATATATTTGTTGCCTCCCCTCTCCTTCTTGTCTCCAACTTCCTCTATATGTGTATGTGTGTGTTTTGCATGCCCTTAATGGGTTATGTCGGGGGTGTACATACACGAGGAGTAGGGAATGGGTCTCAGAGCAGTTAAAGAAACAGCTGGGTCTTAACATGTAAAGAGACAGGATATACAACAACAATCATTACTGTCATTACATTGTCACTCTGCTCACAAGCTCAAAACTTTGCTCCACACGTGTGAGGGGGAGGAACAGGTGATCACTACAGTGATGAGTTCTCACTGCTCTTTGTCTACCTCTTGAGTTACGCCGGCCCTTACTGGCTATAGAAATGCAGTTTCCCTCAACTCTAAAGAATATTTTAATGTCGGTCAGCTTATTGTTTTGGCTTTTTGATCTGCAACTCTCCTGTTTTGAATTGCTCTTGCCGCTCTCCAGCCGCTCTAAAAACCAATGTGCTCAGCACCAACCAGCAGACAGACAAAGTTATCAAATAGCTGATGAACATAGTGGCATATTTAGTAGCTAGAAGTCAGGAGAGCAAATATTAGATCAGAAACAGGAATCAGATGGATGCTAATGTGGCCCCGTGTTTGCTGGATACGGTATGTACATAGGCAAATGTTTGCTAACAGGTTTGCTATATCAGCTTTATACAGTGATTTAAAGTTTAGTTTTCACAGTGTGTTGCGTTGCCCACAATAGGATGAAAACCATTAGTGCAGATTTAAAGCATCAAAAGTAATAACTATTTTCACATTGGTGTGAATATTTGTATTATTACTATGGATGCATTAACATGTAAGCGCCAATTTAATGTTGTAGTTGGTTGAGTTGGAGCTAATTTAAACTGCTGCTGGATAGTTTAATCTACAACAATCCATAATATTGTTTTAAAAATGATCCTAACCTTTGTGTTTAAATCTTAATCTGCAGCGCTGCTGCTAACGACTGAAGGGTTAATCAACTGTTCAGTTCAGATATTATCTACACAATAACTAGTTACTGAAGAGAAATGTCAGTAGGTGGGTTAAAAGTAAAATGTTTAAACTTGAACTGTAGTGAAATCGAAGTAGTATAAAATGGAGAAATAGCAGTTAAGTGCATCGCAATAATCCAGACACCACAGATGTACTTTGCTGGTTTCCACCCAGTGTACCACTGAGGCGGCCTGTGTTTTAAAGCCTTATTTGTGGAGAGACAGAAGCATGTAGAGTTAGACAAACTCTGCAGTGGCATTAGCTTCCTCATCATGATGGAAGAAACCAAACAAAACATACTGTAACTGGCCACCTGTAAGCACTTTACTGTCTCATCCACTGTTTTCTACACTAGTATCAGCAAATGGACAACTGTTTGTTTAAACACGATAGGAGTAGGACAGGTGTGTGTGTGGGTGGGGGGGTGTTGCTGCATGGAGGCAGTTCAGAGAGAGTCATTTAAAGTAGGTAATTACTGAGTATACTTAAGTGGAACAAATTTAGGTTTAAAAAACAAGGAGAGCTATCTACATCTCATATTTTCTCTAATCCTGTCCTTTGCAGGGGCGAGACTACTGTTCGGAGGAGGAGGAGGAGGAGGAGGAGGAAAATGGAACATAGCACAGAGGCCCCCAAAGTACACCCCCACAGAGAGCCTCATTGTGTGTGCGTGAGTGTGTGTTTGTGTAAATAAAAGGCACAATTGTGTGCTTTATGTTTGCCTGAGAGAGTAAGAGAGCGAGCTGAATCAGTGTTTACCATTAGGGCGTTTAATGTGGTGGGACACTGTATGTGTGTATTTTATGAATATATGGCAAAGATAGTATTTTAATTGCAAGTGCAAAGAGTGGGGGATAAACGAGAGAAAGAGAGAATGGATAAAAAAAAAACTTTCTTCAGAGACTACATCCTTCCTCTCTTAGTGCCCTGAGCGATGGAGGTGGCAGAGCGATGAAGGGACAGACAGATGAAAGGATGGAGAGACGGAGGAGGACGCAGTGACGGATGGGCACACATTATCGTGAACGCAGAGAAGGATTTGAAGCCATCTAGGCAAACAGTTATTCCCTCCAGCAGGACAACAACAGCTCCTTGACCTTCCGTCTGGCCCTCCATATCTGTCCATCCGCCCCTCCACGATCCTGATTATTTAACCCCTGCAATTGGACAGAGGAACTCCCAAATATGGGTGGACTGAGAAACCTGTAGTGCTGCCAGAATCCACACTGGACTTTGTAGCCTGCCTGTACAGCCAGGTCAGCCTGGGCCATGAGGGACTGAGAGAATGGAGGAGGAAGGGTACAGGAAGGTGGAGAAGAAGATATTTTATAAAGAGAGAGTAGGAAGCAAACTGGTGATTTAGAAAGTCTAAACTCCACTTGCTTTCTGAAGTCAAGGACCTTTTTTAACTTTTATTCTGTTCTGCCACCACTTGTTCAGTTCATTTCCCCATTTTTGTGGTGTTTGTTTTACTCTTGGCTTCTTGGCTTCATTTACCATTTATCACCTTCTTCAGTGTCGTTTTTCTCCTCATCGTCACAGCAGACAGACCGAAGCAGCAGAATTCAGAGCATCTGTGTCTCAACCCAATCCATCCTCCTTTATATACAGCACCATAACATAGTAGATCCCAGGAGACATACATATATGGAGTCTTTTATTGTACATATAGTAACACATTGATTGATTCAGACACACCTCTACATAATCACCAATCTATCTTTCATTTCACCAGCAGACTCATGCATTAACAGGTATTCTGCAAAACTCTACTTGCATTTTATTTCATTGTTCACATTCACACACTCCTGCACTGAAGCAGAAAACGGGGCTGAGCTCAAGGGGAGGATGCCTGGTTGCTGTGGAGACACAGATTGGATCACTTTTTTTTTAATCACCTTTACTGGATAATTCCTGTTGTATTATTTTGAATACTTTTTTCTATTAAAAATAAAAAACCAGCTCAATGTGCATGGCATCTTAATGTGTGTGTGTGTGTCTGTGGGCTGAGTAATGGAGCTCTGTTGTGCTGGCAGTGGACTGAGGAGTGTGAAGTCAGTCTGTTTTCCTGTGGTCATGGTGCCTAACAACAAGACTGTGTTATGCCACCTGCTTGTACCACAAAAGTACTGCAGTCGTAGTGCACAAAAATGCATGGTGCACATAACTGAACATTATGTCTTTAGTTGGGGGTGTTTTTATTAGAAGTCATTGCAGACAAAATATTCTAAGGTACCATAAAAAATGAACTAAGAAAAAAGTAAATACAGCTAATTAAATATGTCAGTTTAGGACAAAGGTTTTCTAATTTCAAAATGTGATTATGCTAGTATTAGGCAAACATTAGCTAGATGCTGTATAAATGACATTACTGATTCAGTTTGATGAGTTTGTGTCTTCTCTACTTAATATCCCAAGATGGTCACCGCATTATGGAAGGAAAATTCAGTACCCTGGCTGCTTCTTTATTAGCTGCATTCAACTGTTTGTAACACATAAAACACGTACAAAGTCTTTCTTTACCCCACATGACTTACTTGAAGGGGCACATGAGGTTATAATCGGCAGCCACTGTGTACATCAGCAGCGTAAAAGGGTCCCTGTGGGCCAGTGCTCACAGCAAGGCTCTCCCGCACAGAAATAAATGTGTGTTGGAGTCAGACAGCGGGAGAGGGAGGCTGGCGAGGTAAGAGTGAGAAATTAAGACAAGGGAACTGGTAAAGTGAAGATGTAGGAGGGAGAGAACAAGGAAGAGACGGATGTTGCACATTAACCTCAGTCAAGAATATGGGCAAAAAATGTTCTTTCCACGCTGACGTAAGTAACAATAAAAAAAAAGCCCAATCCTTCCTGCTTTGAGTGTTTTACTATGAGTGAGACAGAGCCCAAAATGTCAGCATCATTGTTAGGTACAACATGTTCTTGGCTGTGTGATTTAAGTCCAGTTCTGAGCCAAACTGATGCACGGTTTCTTCCGTTAAAGGGAGTTTTTCCTCCCCACAGTGCTTGCTCGAGGGGGATTTGTTGGGTTTTCCCTCTGTAATAATAGTGATAACAGTAAAGTCTAGACCTCCTGAGATGACTTTTGTTGTGATTTGGCGCTATACAAATAAAATTTGATTAGATTTTAATTTGACATAACTGAAAACTTGTCTTAATGATGAATAATCATAATATTGTCGCGAATGAGGATTTTCCTGCTAATGACTGATATCAACTGATGTGAACCTTGAACAGCCTCTGAAACATTATTAAATAGGATATACCTGCTTAGTGTTAATCTTAAAAGCCTGTCAGTGAATATGGGGGTGATAGTAGATTTGGTCGTTAACAGGGGTGGACCTAGAACATTTTTGGCAGGGTGGCCAGGATAGGTTACAGACACAAAGAGGGGTGGCACGTTCACAGCAAATCCTCACACTGACGACTCGCATTTTGACATTATTAAGAATCAATTAGTTTATTCTGGGTAAAAAATAGATACACAAGGTGCTTTCTTTAGGTAGCTTTGACTGTGCTTCTTATTTACTCCAAGCCAGGGATATCACTGCTGCCCAGGGGTCCCCCCACCAATGAGGCAAATCATGCCAAGTAATCCACAACAACACACTCAGAGAAACAAATACAAATATCATACTGCATGCATGATAAAAAATAAAACAAATTTGACCAATATTAGCTATAAAGCACCAGAAAATGTTAGCTGCATTCAAGGCAACAATTAGTTTTCATTTTCCATTCATTAGCCTAATAGCCTACTGACAAGTGTCACAATTTGAGTCTAGCAGAGGTGGCACCGAAGTGGCCAGTCAGATTCTGGCGGTGGCCGTTGCCACTCCTTGATTCTACCCATGGTCTTTAACCAATTAACAAATGAATCATTGTCAGATAAAATCAAATACTATACTCTTATTTTCACAGTAAAGGCATTTACTGTAAGCTAGGCTAGTTAGCTTTCAGCGGGATGCTATGTGTTGCTTTTTAAAAACTGTATTATCTATCATAATTAGATTTAGCTGCTGCTTTATTTATATGGAAAAAGAAAAAAACTGCTCAGTTTACTAAACTGATGAAGGATTAAAACAGATTTGTCATTTATTAGAAACAGTTTGAAAAAAACAAACTGTAACAGCTTCGTAGCTGGAGCACATACACTCTGGGTCACTTCTTACCTACATGTTTTTTTTTTAATCATCACATTTCTTGCACAGTTTACATTATTCTGTAGCATAATATCTTTATATGGTAGACTTTGTAAGGCAATGCTGTGTGTCTGGGTGTGTACAGTATATATGTCTTACTATGGTTGCAAGGACAAATTTTGGTTTTATACCATCACTGTGAGGACATTTTAGGTCAGGCTAAGTGTTGGGGACAGGCATAATGGTTGAGGAAGGATGAAGGGCTAGGGAAAGCATTATGCTATTGAGTGTCCCCACAAGTATTGTAAGACCAAAATGTATGTGTGTCTGTAAGGGCATGGGGTGCATGAGTGTGTGTGTGTGTGTGTGTGTGCATGCTTTGCCCACATAGAGAGTATGAGTCAGCTCTGAGAGGCAAAGGGATGCATCCCTGCCTAGATGCCCAGCAGGCCTTCGCTCAGTGTCTTAACTCTCTTCAGCAGTTCCTGGCTGCAAAATACCCTCTTTGAAGTAATCTACCTCGAGTAGCTCTAAACACATTCATTTAGAAATGGCAACACCAGCCTCTTAACCACCATGCTCCCTCTCACTATGGAGAAGTTTACATTTTCAAACTTTAAGTTGTTGCACTAATGATATTCCTGAGTTGTTATTCTTCTGTGTCTCTGCTCTCTCTCATTCACAGGCATTTGTATGTAAGGCGTCTTCTTGCAGATCCATACTCTGGATTACCTTGGCAAAGAAGCAGCTCGCATGAAGGGGAGGCCAAGGCTTTGAAGAAGGTAGAATTAGATGCATTTGCATTCATACCACACACCCACAAGAAGTGACCTACTTAAATCCCCAGAACTTAATTGTTCAGTGTAAATACACCATATTTAATCCATGAACAATTATGCAGCTGTCTGGATGCATATACTTAATGTGAACAGCACAATTTGACAGTTCAACTGTTTTGGAAATAATTTTGTGAATTCCCCGCATCACTGAGGTGACCGACAGAGTAGAAAGGATTGAAATGGATAGCCAGAGAGCCTGATTGGTTTATGGTTCTGCACTGGTATTTTATTTGACTGCTGTCTGCCAAATTTGTATTAGCTAAGCAGGCAGTCACTCACTGGACCAAGACTGGTGGCTTGAACCCAGCAGTACTGAGGAGACTGCGGCTATGCAGCAGGAACGGGAGTATATGTGGCATATGTGGGACAACACTCTCAATCATCTGACCAGGATGTGTGGTTTTTCCTCATACTGTCTGGACCTGGCCTACCCGAACACAAGACTACTGTATGTGTGCAAGTGTGTGACAGAGAGAGAAGGAGAGATCTTTGAGGATAAAACAAGAGCACCATCTGCTGGTTCGGGCTTTCCTCATGACACCCACGCAAGTCTACACTCTTGGAGAGCTCTCTGCATGATGGAACACTATCTAATAACGTTGTACATCACCCTGACAGCTTGACAGGGGGCCATGAAGCCATGAAGAGGCCACCCACACATACAAACACATATATGTACACACAAATAAATCAGCTGACTGGAATTACAACAAAGGTGCAGGTCATTAATCTTGTGAAATAGCTTTGGTTCCACTGAGCCAAACAGTCTCATTTTATGTGCTATATCATTAATGTCCAATTATTGAGGTTCATAGTAGTGTGTTATTGTTCACAAAGGCACCAGTATGCATCATTTTATGGTAGAAAACAACCTATTCTTTCCAAATTAAAAAAAGAAATAAAAATCCTTTTCAGACAGTGTCACAGTCCTTTCTTTTAAGCTTTCAATTACAAAAAATACAAGTGGTATATAGGCTATCTAGCATTGCCTTTTTTGTATGACATATTTTTCTATTTGCTAACTCTAGTAGCTGCACCACCTGACGCTTGTTGTCCATATGAAGAGCACAATGCTTCAGTGGAAATGTATATCGATGTTGTCAGGACAAGAGCATTTAGGTAAAAAAAAAAATTACAGTCCCATCTAGACTTTGGATACACAGAAAGGAGTTTTCCCCGAAACTTTTTGCAGATTTTACACAGTAGAATGAGCTGTAGTGATGCATATCTGTTGTAAAAGAACATACAGCTGCCTTTTCATAAACACACCAATCTATCTTCTGTGAGCAACATGTTCTCCCTACCAAAAAGTCCTCTATACTAAAACAAACATATTTTTGTACACCTGTGTTCAACCCTTTTCAATAAACAAATAATAGTTTCATGAGAAAATACCATTTATCTTAATTTTATTTCACATTATGACTTATGTACAACGTGCAAATTAGATGACAGTTAGTGTTAATAGTGAAAACTAACATATTGGTACACTGGACTGAATCATGTTCATTAAATGGCCCTAGTTATGAAGCTGAAGGATTGACCCTGCTATTTAAAGCTAAAGCTGTGAAAACATGATTATTTAAACCAGGCTTTCTCCACAACCACAGTTTCAGCTTTTAAAACATACATTTATCCCAAACATAACTAAAAAAAAATGACACAGTTCCGCTCTCTCTGTCATCCATAGTTACAGTTACAGAAAGACAAATGGCAGTATGTCAAGTATGCCACCAAAATTAGAAAGCAGATGTTTGGCTGTGTCAGAAGAGGGAGTACATGAGCCGTTCAAATAGCTGGAGTGGGTGCTGAAGCCTTCTGACCCAGCGGGGGGAGGCAGTTTTTTTTTTTTTTTTTTTTGCTTGTTATTTTTAGTTTTTAAGAACTAGAAAGTTTAGCAAGAAGTGACAAACAGAAAACGTTTTTTTCAGGTCAGTCATTTTATTTTAGCCTATCATTTAAAGACTGAAAGTCCAGTTTGATCAGAGTTTGACCTTAAAAGTGATTGTTTAAGTCTGAGCAGGCTCCTCCAGTCAGCTGTGGACTATTGATCTCACCTTTTTTTGACATCTGTTTGCAGGAGTAAAATTGAGACTGCAGGTGTAAAAGGTCAGCGAACCTTCCCTAAGCAAATTTTGTGCGTGTGTTTTGGAAGACTCCGATCTTGTGGCAGCTTGCCTTTATGTTTTTACCCATCTGAACTGAATTTGGGAATGCAATAGAGGGAGCTAATGGATTACTCAAACAGGCTGAAATCATTGCTGTCTCTCATCCACAGTGACTAAGAGCATCCAACAACAGAGGACACGACAGAGTACTCTCATTACCTCAGCGAAGAGGGAAAACATTACCAGGTGGCAAAGATCCTAGCTAAAATAAACAAGACAGGGACACACATAAGCTGTCTTTGCCCGTCTGTCTGTGAGTCTGTCAGTGAACTATAATTAAAACAAGGTTACGGGAGGTTTACTGTAATTATATAAAAGCGTACAGTACAATATTATAATAGCAAATAGAGCAACTATGCCAGCTTCTGGAATGGGAGAACTGCAATCTATAGACTATGTAGCAATACAACATTTATACAGTGATTTTCTTTGGAACATTTGTTTTGGTGTTATGGCGTCATATTGGTTTGGCACATCTTTTTTTGTCATGTAGATGTTTATTTTGGTTTCATAACTGCTCTTTGTTTGAAACTCATGTTCTTATGCTTTTAAATTCATACATAGCTTTTACTTTTTCTTTGTGTGGAAGCAACACATCTTTTTCTAAATTATTTTACATGCATCATAAAGTAACTTATTTCACTCAATTTGAACAACAAAGTCATTGGTAATGTGAAGTTAATTTACTTTAAGTGCACATTCAAACGAACTTTTATGGATTTTTCAGCACATGCAGACGACTATCTCTTTAGAGTTCAATCAAGAATATCAAACATCTACAATTAAGGACTAGCACACTGTCACTGTCATGTTAAAGTCATGCATCGCCACTAGGTCAACTTTTCCCAAACAAACAACTTTTTGACTGTGTTTTTAATGAAAAATTTCTCAGTGCATACAAGAGCATGCACTCCTTCACTTTATCTGAAATTTAAGAAGTTCAAAATCATTCATTTTGGTTGTAGCCTATAAGATTTTCTTTGGACCCTGATGAGTGTTTTTACTCATGTGAGAACAACATCAGAGGCAGTAGAAAAATGCAGCTGTCTGCCAGGCTGATGTCAGATGGTGACTTTATGGTCTCCAGCTCTGCAGCATCCAACAGACAAACAGAATGAAACGTTGAGAAAATACACAGGAAGGAGAACTGAGGAGGAGAAACAGACATGGACCAACTAACAGGCTGCAGATAGGCACCAATGACTCGCAAAACCAACATGGGTTGCTTCACTTCACACATTTACTATAGGCCTAATAAACAGTTGCTGTAATAGCTGTAAACAGTAAGTTATACATGCACTATGTTATTTTGAATAGTAGAATTAGAAGGAGTGTCAGAAGGAGGTTGGAGTTACCTGGCACCCAGCAGCAGTGGCCAGCGGGTGTGTAGGAGGGGTAAAAGAGGTAGAAAGCCCTCTATCCGCCCTCTCTCTTACCTTCCTCCGCCTCTACCCAGTGGCTCAGTCCCTCTCTCACTCCGTCACTCGTTCAGTCAATCTCTGGGCCGAGGTCTGGAGGACCTCAGCGGAATCTGAAAGCGAAGATGCGGGCGGTCGGGGCCGTGGGAGTTGGTGTGCTATGGGCGCTACTGGTCGCCCTGGTGCCTGGCGGCGCGTCGGAGCTAGTGACACTGGTGCAGGAGCAGGTGAAGCCCGAGTCCGCCCTGCTGAAGCCAAAGGTTATGATTGCCATTGTGGCACGTAACGCAGCGCACAGCCTGCCACACTACCTGGGCTGCATCGAGAGACTGGAGTACCCGAAGGAGCGCATTGCGATCTGGTGAGAGACGCAGATGCAGGAGTGCACTGGTGACATTTTACTTACTCATCATATGTTGATGATTGTTTCTCCTGCAGTTTTAAATGTTCATTTCCAGAGTCGTGTCTTTCAGAGTACATACAGCAGCCTACATGAAGTGGACGGTAGTCAGCACAGGACCGTGTTGTAAATGGATTAACTGTAATAGGCCAAACAGACCGTCAGAGACCTGTTGCTGCGTTTTACGATGCACCTGGTACCTCACGTGTCTGTCGGCGTCCGAATTGCACATTGTGTGAGAAGATGAAAGAGCTGTTGTGCGTGTTGGGGCTTAACCCCCAAATCACGGCTCCCCGATTCAGCACAAACCTGTGGGGCTTTAAAACAGCAGGTATTAAAGGGGTCCTCATCCATGGTGGGGTCCTATTATACTTTTTGTTCTCCTAACATATCCTAGAAACTATAAAGCAAAGACCCTGTAGGTGATGGGATGAAAAGAAACACTGACTCAGTCAGACAGCAGGATTCTGGGAGTCCTCTGTGAAGTCATGCATAAAATGTGTGGTGTGCCCTTGTAGGGTCTGCATGTAGGTTATGTGGGCTGATAGATCAGATAGGATCACAATCTGAGAGATTTCTCAGGCAGGTAGATTATCACAGGGCACATTAGACATGAGAGGAATGTGAGATGGAGGCCACATAGTTAATGTTTGCAATGCTTTCCCCCTTAGAGTTCCTCTCCCTGGTATTCTTTTGTTTCCCTTCTCTTGTTGAGTGTCCTGCTTTTTGTTTGGGATTGTCTGTTTGTAATTCAGAAACCCTCCCCAAAACACTCACACACACAGAGGAGAACCTCAATACACAGAGGGGCCTGTCTCTCTCAGGTGAAAGTAACATGATTTGTGAGTGGTTTAGTAGAGGAAGGGCCCCATCTATTACGAGGGGCATCTGTCCATCCATCCTGCAGGTGCAGCCAGAAGAAACATCACAGATACGTATGTTTAAGGCTGGTCAGTCCTATCTGCCACACAGATATGTTTGTTGTAACAGACAAGTGCCAGTGAGCTTTATCATAAAGAATGAGGGCACATATAACCACACACACCTTACTGTCGCTCTTGCAGCCAGGACTGTTTTAGATGCAGTTCATTTTAATTTCAGCAGCCATATAGTCTGTAGTGTTTTCACCACTGTGGTCATCTGTATAACCACAGTCTCAGCTGTGAATTGTCTTAAAGTAGTCTGACATTGGTATGTTTAAAATGCAGTAGCATTATCAGTGAACATATGCAGACCCATTTAGTACATGGAGATATATATTTGTGTGTGCATTATGAGGTCATGCAATGATCAGATGAAAATATGTTTTGCTGCTTTGTTTTTGTGGTGATAATTCTGAAAAAACTAGTGGCAACTGGAAACAGCAGAAATATTGAACATATCTTTAATATTTCATAAGAATCATAAGAAATCTAACTGGCTTTTTGTGGCTAAAATGGTCATTTCCCTGACCAGTATTTTACTCCACCTAATTCACTCAGCTGTGTGCCTCTTTGTTTCTCTTTGTCATCATTATTACTGCTCAAGATGTAAACTAAACCACCTACTAAATGCCAGCTTGTAATTCAACTCTCACTTTCACAAGCATAAGTTCATGGGAAGTGTTTTACAGTGTTTTACGAAGCACCGGTTAGTTGTGGAGTAAGAGCTACAGTTTAAGTCCTAAACATTAGGTTTAACAAGCCTCAGGTCATAGGAGTGAAGTGGGACTGAAAAGGCCTTTAGGATGAGTTAAAACAATAAATCCAACTACCACTGACTTAGTACTTGTAAGTGACTTCAACATTAGTGTGACTGAAATATCAATTTTTGGCTTTTTTGGCTTTTCTTGACAGCAGACCGAGGTAAGAAGGTGGGATAAACAGAGAGGGGAATGATGAGGCTCCAGCTTTGCATCAACCATTAGGCAGCTTGTTGCTCCACTTTACTACTAAACATATGCTCACAGCGTCTGTCATTTTTTATGTGGAGACATGATGTTCACATTAGTTCTTCTCTGGAGCTTCAGGCTTGAGAAAAGCAGATGATTGTTTTGCTTCTTCAAACTCATTTTAAACATACAATCCAGTGGAGCTAGTGCCGGGAACAACACAGAAGAAGGATGTAGATGATTAAATACTATAATAAGAGTAGTGACAATAGAGGAGAGACATTGGTGTTATTCTCTTTAGCCTCCAAATTGCCCTTTAAAGGAACAAGTGATGATTTATTAATATGTGTTTACTGCATCTGTATGAATGTGCATGTACAGTATATGAGATGGCAGATCAGAAGCAGTGAGGTTGAATGTAGTGTAGTGTGACAGTTGAATCTAAATGTGGATGAGCACATGGAGGACATGCTGCAGTTTTAAAAGGTAAACAAGATCCAAACACAGGGCACAATATGTGACCCTGCTGTGTTTGACCTTAAAAACCTTTTAGGAGCATTGTGTTGTGTTTTGCACTAGAATACTAATATAATACTGAGTTTGTATACTTTTTTCTTAATGTCTAATTGTATATCCATCTCAGATGATCTGGGCAGTATTATCATTTCATGCATGAGTTACAATGAGAATTACAGCCTAAAAAACAAAAAACATTATAAACTCAGCTAGATGACGAACTTCTGGATTGACTTTGGCAGGTCTGAGGATGTTGGGAGGATCAAAATGTCCACTTTGAGACCACATAATCTGCATTGATTCATCCAGATTAGGTTTCCTTCACCCTGTTTCTGCAGCTCTGCCTTGCGCTCACAATTGGGATGGTCAGTAAACATTTCCTTTAGAAATTTTCCCTCTGCAAGCAGGCACAGGTCTTACAGAGAAGTGGCAGAGCAGTGAGAGTCTCACACTGCTGCTCAAGAATGAAAGAATGTGAGGAAAGAGGGGGTTCAGGTGGAGAGAAGGTGGTCAACAATGTTGGGAAGTTGCCCAGAGGGTTATTAGCTGGTTGGTTAATCCACATTCCTACAGTAGCTTGTACCATGTCTACTCTCCACTTCTCTTTTGCTGCATTGTGCCTTTTTCATTCCTGTGTGTCTGTCCTAAGTGAATTACAGTAAACTAAGCTACTAAAATTTATATTGTCATTTAGAAAGGCCAATAATCTGGTTAGTGAAAGGAACTTGGATAACAGACATTGTCAGAGTGAATAAGATTAGTAATAGGTTCCTGGAGTTTCTATGAGACAGAACACTGTGTGATGACAGATGCAGCAGTAGCAGGCAAACGTCATCCTTATGGATCAAAGAACTATATGTCAGTTCTCATCACATGCCTAGGTGAGATTTTCATCTCTCATGTGTAAAAGCTTCAGTGTACTCAGTGGTAAGCAATGTTGCCTTGCAGCATGAGTCCTTTGAACCTAACCTATTCGGCCTACTAGCTCCTCTAAAGTTCACAATTAGTACATTGTATCTTCTTTCAAAAGCCAAAGTTTAAACTGATAAGTTGTGGTTATGCAGAAGGTTGTGCGCGGGACTATATCTCGGTTGGGTACACCAACACATTGTCAGGCAACCAGTGGATGCACCAGTCTTTGTGCTAAGCTAAGCTAACATCCTCATGGCTGTAGCTTCATATTTAATGATCAAACATGAGAGTTGTGTCTATCTTTTAATAAACTCTCTGCAAGAACCCAAATAAGCACATTTTGCAAATTGTCAGAGTATTTCTTTAACTACATAGACTCATTGAATATATAGAAGACCATTGCATGTCTATGGCTGTTTTTATTTATTTTCATATTAAAGAGCTAAAAACGCATGAAATACATATGAGTGGAGAGTGACAGAAAATCTGGAGAAAGAGAAAGGGGGGATGACATGCAGCCAGGGTTACATACTGTATGTTACCCTAGGCCAAGTGGAGTCTTCATGAGTGAAAGGTGAAGTTCATATGCAGCAGCTTTCATCTTTTGCCAGTTAGCTGTTGAATTTCACACTCTGCCTACAGGAGTTACTGTTTATAGTAAGCAGCTTCAGAAGAAATCATAGAGCATTTCATAAGCAGTGAGCAGTGTAGCGTATTTGTTGTGATATCTGAGACACAATGCAAGCAAAGCTGACAAAAGTTTAGGCAATTATTTTTCTCCTCAGGCTGCTCACTGCCGGCTGCTCACTGCCTGCTGCTTACTGCCTGCTGCTTACTGCTGGCTGGCTGTGCTTGTGTGGTGATTTGCTTTCCCAGGTGCTGGCCTGGGGACTGAGGTGATTTGTGGACTTGTCAGGGTCAGAGTGAACCATGAAGAGGATGTCAGAGCAATGACATCAGTCTCTTTTTCACATTAATAATGTTATGTTGTCTGTTTACTAATTTATCATGTGGCCACTTATCCCATATTTATGACCGTCATCACTACATCAGTGACAAAGAGATACTGGATTTTGTGGGATAATTTTTCTTAGGGTTGAACGTTTTTCTACAATGCATTTGTTGACAAAAATAATATACCCTCCTGCAATATTTTTGAATCAGACACGTGATGCAACCTAAGGTCATAATATGACTCAGTGCATTAAGAATTTTGCACATGTCAGACACTGAGAGAGGTTTTATGTAATTGTATCTGGTATTATGTTATGAGGAGACAGATGTGACATTATTGGATACATTTCATATCCACCTGCATGCAAGCATTTGACAGAAATTATTTACACCCTGTGATGATATCTTTTTAAATCCACATACATCTGTACTCTCATGGATAGGGATGCTACAATATCAAAAGCTCGTGGTACGATTGTGCCATGATAAAAAGTCCACAATATGACATTTAACATGATATTTAAAAATGAAGTAAATAGATGAAAAATTGTCCTTTACTATACAATAAATCAATGCTTTTTTTAAAGTAATGCAGCAGTCAGTAGCGGTCCTTTTATGAGATAAAATAATATAGTATATTATTGCAGCAGCTCGATCTTGTAAATAAAACAAATCACACTCACAGTAGAACATCAGCTTTTTTAGTACC